ACAGAAATAAATTAATTTAATTTTATTAAGTATTAGCTTAAAATAAAATAAGATGAAATGAAATAAAATAGAACAAATAATAATAATAAGATAAAATAAATTAAGTTTAAATTAATTTAAAAAAATTCATTTAAAGTTAAAAAATAAAATAAAATAAAATAAAATAAAATAAAATAAGGTAAACTAAAATAAAATAAAATATATGCAATATAAAACAAAATGAAATAAAATTAAAAAAAACTATTGTATAATAAAAAATCAAATAAAATAATATTACGTGAAATGGAATAAAATTAAATTAAATAAAATAAGATAACATAAAATGAATTAAAAATATTCAATTAAATTAAATAAAAGGTATGAATTAATATAAAATGATATACATTAGATAAGAGAAAGTATATATAGCAAAATAAAACATAAAATTATAATAAAATGAAGTTTAAATAACAAATTAAATTACAAAAAATATAAAGCAAAAAACAGTGCTGTCTTCGGCCATGGTGAAGGTGCAGAGTTCGTTTTCGATAATTTTTCTGGTTGATATTTGTTTGAATTTACAAGTTGATAATGTCAAATTCCAGGCTCTTAACTGTTCCTTTGACAGATTTTTTATTCGAAACCTCAACCGAATTTCACTCTATTAAATGTTCTTCTGATCGATTTATGACTCAAAGCTGAAAGATTTTAGTCTTCGAACTGGCCGTTTACGACAAATGATCTTTTCAATCAAAAAAAAAGATCGGACCTAACTTAAAATACCATATAATGTTTTATTTTATTTTAACTTATTTTATTTTAGTTTCTAAACTTAAATTGAATTTCTTTAATTTTTTTTTTATTTTCAGTTAAATTATTATATTTTATTTAACTTCATTTCATTTTATGTTATCTTATTTTATTTTATTTTTTTTATTTTATTTCATTTAGTTCTATATTATTTATTTTTTAATTTACTTTTTCTTATGTTATCTAATATATTTCATTTTATTTCGTTTGACTTTATATATTTTTGATTTAGTTTTATTTTATTTTATTTAACTTCATTTACTTTAATTTAATTTAATTTTTTTTTAGTAACTTTAATTTGTTTTATTTTATTTTATGTTATTTTATCTTACATTGTTTTATTTAAATTATTTATTTTTTTTATATGATTTTAATTGATTTTATATTACTTTATTATTAATTTTAATTTGCTTTAATTTAATATTACAGAGTTTTCTTTAATTTCATTTTCTTTTGTTTTATTTTATTTCAATTCAAATAATTTTAATTTATTTTATTTCATTTCATTTAATTTACTTCATTTTGCTTTAATTTTTTTTTTTTAATTAAATTTTTCTTCATTCTATTTGATACTTTTAAATTTATTTTATTTTATTTGATTTTCTTTTTATTTAATTTTTTTTATTTTATTTTTATTTTAATATAATTTAATTTAATTCTATTTAATTTTAACTTAGCTTTATTATTTTTTCTTTACTTTATTTTATTTTATTTCAATTTTTTTTTTCATTGAAAAAGTTACTCGGAGTGCAAGTCGTCGTCTTGGGTTGCCTTTGTAACTGCCGAACAACATTCATACAAATAAAGTGATTTAGTATTCACTACGATTCAGAAAAATTAGTGAAATGAAATCGAAATAGTTAAACCAATTTTGGAGCCGCGAAAAGCTAGTGGAGAGTGCAAAGTGCCAAGAACGTGACTTTGCGCCCACATACCTCCAGATTGGGCTGCCGCAACGTGACTGTGGCAGCAATGTGAGCAGCGCGGAACAGGTGACTGAGCTGGCATTGCAAGGAAACTTATTTTACTTAAACAAAATTCAAAAAAAAAAAGTCTACTTTAAGCCGCGAAGGATAATTGGTGCTGATTTAACTAAACCTCAGCTGGAGGCCCGCCACAAAGCGCTACATACATGTTCCTCTAGCTGCATTGAATATTTCGAAATTAAGGGTAAGCGGGGCAAAGTGCATATCAAATGCGAATTATCTGAAGGAAAACAAGCCCGTATCGAAGGCAAGCGTGGTGATCGCTGCTTTTGTTGCAATGCAAACAGCAGCTTGTGCGCTCAAATTACAAATTGCTGCTCTGTTTTTAAGATTCTGTAAAGCAAAGTGAAAAAAATTTCAAAGCAAAACACAATTTTTCCTTCGCCCAATAAATGATATAATACCCGCTTGGTTTTCTTTCTTTTTTTTTTGCTTAAAAATTTTCAGAGCATGGAGCAATTGCTAACACCAACGCCACAATCTTGCCACACTTAGCTCATATTTTCATTTGCATAAACGTGTAATATACTTAAATACATAGGAGCCTTACATGTTCATATGAATTCCTATCCACATACATACGTACATTAGCGCGTACATCGAGGCCGCGTGAATGGGTAATATAATACGAGCATTTGTGCGTCTGTCTGTCTGGTAATTGTGCTCGCGAATATAGCGTAAAGATTTAAATGCTCCGATAGTTGCAACATAATTTATCTACTTAGATATATACATATATACATATTTTTCTACATTAGCGTACATATTAGTAATTTGAATTTTACATTATTACACTCATTCATACACTAATTCAGCTGTTAGCATGCCTATGATTTAACATATCCGTGTGAATGCTAATTCATCTGCGCATATGTGGCATTTTTTTGGTTTTTGGCTACGAAATGTTGCGCATGCGCAGCGATTGGCAATTTGAATTTCAGATAGTTGCACTCAATTACATGAAATGGTAATTTACGGTGTGACAATCAGCAAATTGGCGGTGATAATGCGTAAGTGCTGTGAAAATGTAGAAAATAATTATAATAAATTAATTAAAAAAAGTGAAATGTAGCATGTGCGGTTGTAAATAGAATTGCACTATATGAGATAAATATTCATTTAAGTTACCCCTAGTAAAAATTATGGTAAATAAGAAATGAGAGCTTAGGAGGAAGAAGTGACTGTCGACTTGGGGCATTAATACAATTAGACCAGGGTAGACCCATTGTAATACCTCGATGTTGAACCCATAACTAGGCCTTAGTATGAATTTATTTGACATCTGCTATAGATAGACAAATCATAGAGGAATACAGCTCCACGATATTGCTGTATACGTCTGGTCAAGACTGGGCACTTGCACAAAAGAAAATATGGCTGCTTTTTCATTCCCATCGTTCTAGTAAGCCAACTCTCAGTATGCTGGCAAGTTCGTCCCTCTATTTCTCTATGGGAAAGTACATAACTAAGAGATGGTCTAGTCTGTGTGTTCGTCCTCTGTAGCGATTGATTTTTTGGTTTGTTGTGAGTAAGCTAGTGACTGAATCGCTGCCTGACTCTCGTCGAAAGTAAAGGTGTCCTTGCTCAAAATTATTTATTTACTGCCTCCGTGACATCTGAAATTTCATCTGGAAGTATACGAGAATGATCGGGTAGCCTGAAATCAGAGCTCGAAAAGGTTGTTTTCTTGAGAACGGAGCTGCGCCACCTACCTTAAGGTTGATATGTCAGGTTTTGGTGCATCAGCAAAACTTATACGGCATTACCAATTGATACTAACAAGGCTTCAGACCAGAGAAAATAATACGAGCTTCAGAACTTAAAAGAGACGGTACGATTGTCTTCAATAATAACTCAGTAAATTCTGTTTTCTCCAGACTTTGCCTTATAGTTGGATCTGGTAGATACTTTTAGTGGCTTATCGACGATAAAATAGCCAGGTGTTAGTACCTTGCAGATGGGTTGAAAGCTTCGGCCTCAAATGAAAGTGTCGAGAATTATTCGTATGTAGAAAAGTCGAATCTAAGTAACGCTTAAGATGATATTTGATGCGCTTTATTTCGGCCTCCCAAAAGCCGCCAATATGTGAGGCGCTTGGAGGTTAAAAATGCCAGGAAGTGTTACTGTCGACGAAATAAGTCATTTATAAAACTATCAAAGGCAGCCCCTGTAAAGGTGTTGCCGTTATAAGAGTGAACATGCTAGCAATGTCTTTCCGCTGATCATGGAGAGATCTTCAGCCAACTCCAATGGTGCAGGTGCACGGCGCATATTCTCATACATATGAAGTAATATTAATACGATTTTTTGGACTTCCCACCTCGTGATGAAAAAATCTTCGGACGAGGTTTCGAACCAGGAACCCAGAATCACTGATAACAAGGCGAAGTATCTCCGTCATTAAGCAAAGAGCTAATACATTCACGTCTTGGCTCTCACGTAGCTGCTGACAACCGTATCTATGAAGTTTTGGATGATTTTGCCTAACAAAAGACCAGCATAAATCGTGATAACAATGTCAGCCTTGAAATCGCACGCAAATTCTTCTTTGCCAAAAGGTACCTTGTCGGCTAATTGAGAAGTAATGAGCACTCTCGGCGACCCAAGAGCAAGCTCCACAAGTCACTCATCATTTGACAGCATCTGGTGCGTCGAGACTCGTAGTTTTCGAGATAATTGGTTTGCTTTCGATTTGCGGATTTTCGAACATTGGCAACAGCTTACATCGCAGACAATGGAACGATAAGCTGTATGACTTATGATATGCCTTAGTTCCGTAAATTGAGAGGCAGCACGGACAACAACACTCCAGCTTTGAAAGTTTTCCACGCAGTACTCGCAGGTGAGAGCAGAGAAAGAGGAAGACCTCCACTCCTTTAGAAATATTAAATGTAGAGGAGCCTGGCTTCTCTTCGTAGTTTCCATTAGTGATGGACGGCTTGGGGAGGAAACGAATTGGATGACTCTGCTGATTTGATGCGGGAATCGCCACCAATTGTGGAGGCCATGAAAGTTGAATCACTAATAATTTTAGTATGAGAATATCTGATCTCTCTGACAGAACTTTTCCAAATACCTCTCGCGGTGCTCTCTCAATAGGCTCATTTACTTTAGTTTGTGACTAGCGACGTGAACTCTCCCGAATGATTATAACCCTTTAAGTGTTTTTAATATTTCTACCCCTCAATGATACTAATCATTACTTCAATAATTCATTTCTTGCAGAAACTTCTAACCTGCCTTACAGTGCTCTCTTTCGCCCCTCTCATCCAACTGGCGGCGAGTGCAGAGGATGAAAACTCTACAGAAACAAATGAAATAATACCACGAGAGGCAATTGAGAAATTAGATTACTCCGTGAGACAAGCTCTACTACGTGCCATAGATAAGTTAGAGCGAGAAGCAGCAGTTGAAGATTATGATGACGCAGATGAAGACGATCAAGATGTGGACACAATCACAACCGAAGAACCACCCGCGAAGCCGCAGGAAAATGTGCTGAACATTCTCAGCAATTCCAAGCCAACGACAACGGGAAACAGTGGCAACAACAATAACAACAACGGCTCCACAACAACTACGAAAGATGAAATACTCGAAGAAAGCACCAATGCCGCCGATGTACACCCGACTGTACAATTTTACACAGCGATTTTCGATGAGAAGCATGCACACGAGCAACCCTTGGCCTCGTTTATCGATCGCTCGCGCATCTGGAAGAAGACAAACAAAAAGGCCATCTCCGGTGCATCGACCAGCCTGAACGATGATACGGTAGCGCATGCGTCGAGTACTTTCGAAAGCAGCCGACAGAGCACGCGTAGTGTTGGTAATGGTCGCAGTTCCAATACAGCTGTGCGTTTGAATGAAATCTCTGGTGAAAATTCGGATGAAGTGAAGTTTGAGATACGTAAAGCACATGCGCTCGCTGCGGCGGCCGCTGCATCCACCACAATGACCACAACGTCGACAACGACGACGACGACGACAACAACAGCACGTCCACGCACGACACGCCGTCCACGACCGACGACCACAACAACGACAACTACGACAACACCGCGACCCACACACAATGAAGATGGCGAGAATATTGAAGTTGTGGAGAAAGATGACATTCGCATACAAGCGGCGCCCCTCGTGACCGCGTTCACTGTGGATCTGGATGAACGTGGCGCCGCTAAGAATGTTGTGCCCATTTTAGATCCACCTACAGCACACCCACCAGTGATTTCCCACAACGTTCCCCAACAGTCTTTTGCCACGGGTCCGACCATTTCGAAACTTAATGTTTTACCTGCCAATCCTTTGTCTGCTGTGCCGCAGAGTGAGGCAGTTTATAGTAATGTCGGACTTGCTGCGCCTACACAAGCAACTAATATTTTGGCTGCGTCAACTACACCTTTTTCCAATATTGTTGCAGCGGACGATTTTGTAACGGTAAGTTTTAAAGAGTTCGCAAGTGCGTATTCTCTCAAGGTGAGTGAAGAGTTATACGTTTACCGTTATCTCTCTCTCTCTCTGTAGTAGGTACACCTGGAATGAAATAAGCTCATGGTCTTCGTAACCCGAATGGGGCAGTTGCTCTGTTGTTTTCGTAAAGTTTTCTACGTCAAAGGTCCCATAAAACCATGATATGAATTAGAAAGCGAAGAATAATTGCATCAGTTTTTTATTCCAACTTTTTCTCTGTGACCTATGGGAAGTAGTTACATATATATATTTTTATATTCCGAACCAGAGGATTGTTTTTTTCGAGCCTTGACAGAAAACTATACGATCTGGTTACTCTCCTCTATCATCCGTCCTCCAATCTAAGCATCGTCGGGAAAATATACAAAATTTGTACTTCGCTACCCGGTTGAAGCATGGGTTTAAACCAGAGTCGAAGCAGGTCTTCATGAAATAGAATAGGAGCCCACAACACAGGAAGATTAGCTTCGAAATGGAGGACTCTTCTTCACTGGGCTCGAAGTAATGCACCATAAGTTATCTGGGTGGTCAGCAGAGATTCAATTTCATGTTTCTGATCTTAGGGAAATTTTTCAAGTGGCTCCGCAGAATTATGTCCTTTCTCCACTTCAGTTTAACTTTACCATATTCAAGCTCTCAACGATCTCTGTAGGGGTATAGGGCAGTCAGACTGCGCTAATTGCTGGAGGTTGATGTTGAAGGGAAAATCAAACTATGAAAATCGACCTCCCACTGACTCAAAGTCACTGGTCATAATATTCGTCAGTTTACACTTCTCCGCCCCTAATCAAATAAAAATTATTTGTGTGTCCCTAACCGACCGAAAGACAGGTTGAAATAGCTTGTATCGCTAAAAAGAAATGAATTTAAGATATTTCGATAGATCTTCTTACGGAACATTACTGCAGAGGTTTTAGAGAAGAGAAGGAATATCAAACAGCAAGCCACTTCTTTTCCGAATACCCACGTCACTCACTTTGGAGGAATAAATCCAAGTCTCCAGAAATTAGATCCTCAGTACACCATCTTTTGAAGCCATTTATTCGAACTCCAAATTTTACCCACTAATTCACGCTCTGCTTTCCATCCCCGACCGCACAGCCCACCGTCCAAACTGCGCTCAGCAGCAATGACAATTCCAATCAAGAGCAAGGAGGCGTTAGCAATTACCTCATCGAACGGCAGCGACAGCTTGAACAACAAATCTATCAGCTAAAATTACAAGCACAACAACAACAAAACTTAATTTTACGTCAATTAAAATTGCTGGAAGAGCAGACGAGATTGAATAACCTGCAACCGCATCCCACCGTCCAAACCCTGCCAGTGACAACAGCACAAAGCTTTATACAAACACTACAACAACAGCAGCAACAAACACAGCCAATACATGCACAAAACACACCACAGCAGCAGCAACAGCAAAATCTACAACAACAACAACCCCAACAACCACAAGTTGTCAGCTTCACCATACGACCCTCCGTCGAATTCATACCGCAAAATAATGCCGCGGCGGTGGTGACCCAAAGCAGTCCCGCTTTTCATTTCAACACCTTCCCGGTGGATCAGCAATTACCGTTACGTGAGAGGGGTAATAAATTTGCGCACGGCGACAATAGTTTTGCGTCAAATGCCAATATATTGCCAGTGACGTCGCAGCAGCAACAACAACAACTACAACAACAGCAATTGCCCATAAATGATCCCGTACAAAAGGTTTTTCAAAACATACAAAATCTGCAGAGCCACAAAGTCAATTCCGTACAACAACAGCAGCAGCCGCAACAACAAACCTCAAACGGTGTTGCTGCTGGAGCCACAGGCGGCACTACAGTGCAAATACAAGCGTCAAATCAATTTAAATTTGCACCCACCTTCCCAACAGTGCAGACACCGTTAGAGGTGTCGCTATTCCAGGCGTTGCCGCAACACAACCATCAGCAATTTCATCAACAGCATCAACAGCAGCAGCAACAATCCCCTTTGGTGCCGTCATTTTTGAGTCAAGCTTTGTTAGAGCAACAACAACAGCAACAACACCAACAACATCGTTCACGTTTATTCCGCCAAGAGGCAGGCACATCTAATTTCGGCCAAAAGCAGGCAATTTCGCAATTTTCCTCAGTCCAATCTGTCATACCCACATCCATACTCGGTCAGCAGCAGCAGCAACAACACCAACAACAACAACAACAACAACAAGTGCTGGATAATCAAAATTTCTATCGGCAACATTTGGATCCACAAATTAGCAATCAACTGCAGCAAAATGCACAATTCTATCAGCAACAACAACAACAGCAATTGCAACAGCAGCAACAACAACAACAGCCACCAGGTAAAGCCTTAGCCATAGTGAGTAGTAGCAGTAAGATTAATAGCAGTATACAGAGCAGCAGTTTAAGTAGTAGTTATAACGGTATTAGTAGCATAAATATTAACAACAGCAACAACAAAAATAATAATAGACTCACCTCACATACTGCCACCAATCACATACACACCTTAAGTAATGCATTAATCACACGAAAACCCACACACACAACTCATCCAACACGGACTAGTATTAGTTCTAGTGGTAGTAGTAGTAGTAGTAGTAGTTTAAGTAGTAACGATAAATTTCATTACATAAATTTCGAAGAACTTAAATTAATTGGTAATGTTTTAGCACTTAACCGTGGCATTAACAACTTTGCACCAACCACACAAAATCTACCCTTCGCTGGCCGTTTCTAAACCAAGCCTGTGGCATGCGATGCACCGTTTATTGTAGCGTAGTAGGGGAAGAGTGGAGTGGAGTAGATCGGAGCTGTAAATATACACGCACACAACATACTGTAGCTTTGCAGTTCACCAGCGAAGTGTCAAGAATCGGGCCGCCCTGGAGCAGCAAAGAATGCAAAAACAACATCAAGGCTTGAAGATAGTTTAATGCACCTGCGTTCCGTAATAGCAGCAAGTTTCCCCCACAACTAACTGAAGATTAGTATTTATGGCAATAACAAAAGCACAGTAATTCCTTTTGAAAAAAGCACCTGTAAGAAAGTAAAATTGAAAATATTTCTGGCATGCAAGGAATGTCAAACTTAATGGCATGCGGTGAGCGACAGACTGTTTATCTGCATTAACTAAATCTGGTTACATTAACTTTGTAAAAAAAAACTATAAAAATTCAGAATTTTACTTTTGAGATGAAATTTTTTATAATTTTTTTTCCGAAAAAAAACTCCTATAAGAAAATAAAATTTAAGTATTTCTAGCAAGCAAAAAATTTCAGATGAAATAGCTTAAAAATTAATTATTATGCTACCAAATGTATATGTATAAATTCACCTCGTTTTCCATTTGGAACTTTATTGAAAAAATATAAAACTTTTTTTTTCACTAAAATACAATTACAATATTTTTGTGTAACTATAAACTGAGTACTGAAATATATAGTAAATATATTTGTTAAAAATGCTTTGTTTTAAAAATAAATTAAAATAAAATTTAAATATAAAATAAAAAATCCAGAATATAAACAAATTTTTTCACAAATCCATCAAAATTAAAAGCAATAAATCCTCATATCAGCTGATTTTAATGCGCATAAGCGTAGTTCATCATTGTGAATGCTTATGCGCATTTGTGTGCTGGATTAGCTTTGTCTTTGCACTTCAATAAGCGGCATGAAAGCTGCAAAATAAGAAACAAATAAGGTAATGAATATACGTTGGTATTATGTGTATGTATTATGTAAAGGGAAATTAAATATAAATTTAAAGTATTTTAATTTAATTTTTTTTTATTGATTCGGTTTTTGCCAAATTAGATTATGACAAATTTTGATGAGCCTCAAAAATTTAGGGCAAAGAAAAAAATATGGAAAGAATAAAAAACCAAACAATTTTTTTTTCTTTTTTTATTGTAATATACATACATATATGTACAATAGTATACACATATATATATATCGCTGAGATTTATTCTCTATGCTTTTTTTACTCGAGAACAGCATTAGTTTCCTAGGCTCAGTTGCGCAAATTTAAAATTATGTGTATATATTTTCTGGATATTTTTTTTAAGTCAAGGCATCTTTTATATAAAAGCTTAAGCAATATACTCAAGCAGGCAAAATTAAAACAAATTTGAATGGAAACAATTTGTGCATTAGGACATTTGATTTCCTTGCTTAATTTATCAAAAAAATGATGCAAACACAATTAAAATTATAAATCTCAACAAATTTACTGAAAACAAATTGATAGCAATTTTAAATTATTGACATCTTTTTACGAGAAAATTTTAAATAGTTTGTCGGCTTGTGATTTTTAGTTTATTCAAATTGCTATTCACAATAGTAAACAATTGTACATTTTCTAAATTCTAATTTTCGTATGTTTAGTATTATATTTCACTATCAATTTGTTAAAATCACTAGAAATGCACAACAGTTTTACATCTTCAAACTGTGTTTAGAAATTATAAATACTGAAATAAATGCAAATTCAAAAAAATTTAAATAAATGCTGTGTTATTTTTTCAAAAGTCTTTTCACGCGTTTTTTTCATTTATGAACTCTTTCCAGTGCATAGTTGCACATAATAACTATATTTTGAGACATAATATTAATATTTAATATATAATAAAAATATTAATTTTTGTTGCTTTTAAATGTATTGTCAAGTGAAAATTAATGAAATTATTATATAAAGCAATTCTGCATCGTAAAGATAAATTTCCCGATAAAGAAAAAATTTCAAACAATTCGGTTGAAACATAAAGAAATGTTATCGTTAAAGCAGCTGTTAAAATAAATTTTATTTCGTCTTTGCCTGTAACGAAATTCTTTCGTTAATATTGAATCGTTAACAGCTAATGTTAAATGTTAACAGATAATTTTAAACATTAACAGATAATGTTAAACGTTAACAGGCAATGCTAAATGTTAAAATTGAAGTGAGCTGTAAATATAATATCATAGCAAGCAGCCGTCTAAAAATTAAATTTATCAAAAAATTTGTGCGGTTTCATAATTAACATTTTCATATCATTTCGTTGACGCCGAAATAAAAAAAATCATTTCCTTAAGTTTATTTTTTTTATATACCAAAAATGAATTGGCGTATTTTTTCATTTTAGCATCTCTGCTTTATAGAAAATACGTTGTGCAATTTAAAAAAATCGAAGAACAAACCATTACAACAGTAAAAAATTTATAAAGCAGATATTTTTAATTAGTAATTAATTATCAATTTCATTTGCCCCAAACATATACTCACTAACTAAAGTTCAAATAAACTAAAGTAATTAATGTGTTTTCAGATTATCAAGTTACCGACACATGCTTTGCACTTTCTGCTGATAATGCATTAATATTAGACAAGAGATGCTTCATTTAATAAAACAATAACTGTTATAAAAAAACGTATAAAATTCTATAATATTTTTTTTCTTTATAAATGTGACTTTTGCTTATTATACAATCAAAAGAAAGCATGTTCGCGCATTTAAATATAATATATAAAAAAGGTGAACTGAACTTAGAACTAACCAGAGATTGATGCAAAAAATGCCTTATCTCGAAATTTATGTTAACCTACATTTTTTTTCCTTTTGCAAAAATTTTGCAATGACGATTGATTGACAGATAAACTCACACGAGTCAGTTCACTTAAGGGAAAATTACAGATTATAATTAAAAAACGTAAGTGCAAACGACTTTTTCAATAGCAACTAATATTTTTTTCTAATTTTTCTATTTTTTATGAAATTTCATTATATTTTTTCGATAACAATTTTTTTTTTCTTTATTATCTGCATTTATTTTTAATTAATTGTTATTATGTTAATATACATCGAACAATGTACAATTATAATTACAAATGTTATGAGAAAATATAATATGTTTTATTAATGTGTAAAGAAAATATTTTTATATTTTTAACATGCTTTTTTTAAAATATGTAAATTTAAAAATAAATATTTATTTGTTAAAAATAAATTCTAAGTATAATAATAATACCATGATTTGCTTTCAATTTGACTGGAAGGTTTTTATATTAGCGAGTAAGTATACAAACCTAAAAGAATACCAAGTTCTATGGCTTTCTGCACAAAATAATAAATATATGTGTAAAAAGGGTGATTTTCTTTAAAAGTTATAGGAAAGTTTTCAAAAAACACATAACAGAAATGCATGAAATTTGTATTTGAATCGATAGTACGGTCCATATGATTTAATATTTGAAAATTTTTTTATGCAAATTTTGACCATGACTGCGCCTCAAATGGTCCATCCGCTTAGTCCGATTTTGGCATACTCTTTCCAATATTTTGACCGATATCTCAAGAATAAATGCTTCTATGTTGTTTTCCAATGCGTCAATTGAAGCGGGCTTGTCTGCATGGACATTAGATTTAACATAGCCCCACAGAAAATAATCTAAAGGAGTTATTATCGCACGATCTAGGCGGCCTATTGACCGGTCCCGAACTTGAAATAAAATGTCCACCGAACTCCCTTCTCAATAAGTCCATTGTTTCGCGCGCTGTGTGGCATGTGGCACCGTCTTGTTGAAACCTCATGGCATGCAAGTCAAGTTCCTGCATTTTAGGCAAAAAAAAAGTTTGATATCATCTCACCGTAGCGCTCACCATTCACAGTTACGCTACGATTCACATAATCTCTGAAAAAGTACGGTCCAATGCCAATAAACCGCATAAAACTGTACCTTTTTCTGGATGCATTGGTAGCTCTTGCATTCCTTCTGGCTGATCTTCACTCCAAAATTGACAATTCTTCTCATTTGCGCACCCACTAAGCCAAAAATGAATCGCGCGATAAACTTATTTTGATAATAAAATTCAATAATTTGAAGTATTATTTCCTAAAACCCTGTATCGGAACCTGTTAGCCGTTTGTCGATCCGATGATCAATACGGCATGAAAATATATCTACTTACCGAGTGACTAGTTTGAGTACAAAGAGATGGATAAATGAATATCGAAATATCAAGCAACTAATTCATACGTAATGTGATCCCTTGAAGATACTCCTGGGAGTTGTTTGATGTTATACAGAGGGGGAGTGTATGACCCAGCCCTGGGGCTTTGCAATGTTAATTAGAACAAATATTTTATGAGGTTAAGTAAAAAGTTCCCTCGCTTTTTATCCAAGAGATGGCGTTATTGTCCATAGTAGTAGTGCTACGTGTCGCATGATTTCATGGCATCATATACGGCGCTGAAAACGTGTTTATTCGCGCTAAAAGTCCTTGACAATTTTTCGATTGATTGACTCAGTACATTGGGAGCACTCGTCAAAGATGGACACCAGCAAAGAGAAAATTCGCTATATTTTACGATTTTTCTTTGATCAAGGCGTAAAAGCAGCTAAAACGGCTGAAAAAATTCATTTAATTTAGGGGCCCGATACTGTAAACGAACGTGTAGTACAAAAGTGGTTTGCTGGTTTCCGTTTCGTAATTTCGATGTCAAACATGCACAACGCGTCAGGAGGCCTGTCGTCGAAAAATGCAAAAAAACATGGAAATAGTGGAAACAGACCGTCACGTGAGCACTTATTTAATGGCTGAGGAACTAAAGATAAGCCAGAAAGCCGTTTGGAACCATTTGCATAACCTTGGATTCAAAAAGAAACTCGTTGTTTGTGTGCCACACGAACTAACACAAAAAAAACATGATTGACCGAATTTCCATCTGCGAATCGGTGCGGAATCGCAACAAATCGACCCGTTTCTGAAACGGATTATGACTGGCGATGAAATATGGGACACTTACGACAACATCGAGCACAAACGGTAGTGGTCAAAGCTTAGGTAAGTGGCCCTGACGGTGGCCAAAACCGGATTTATGGACAGGAAGGTTTTGCTGGAATTGGCAAGAAATCATATACTTCGAGCTTCTCCCCTATGGCAACAAATGAACCGCTTGAAGGTAGCACTCATCCAGAAGGACAACGCCAGGCCACACATGTTTTTGGTGACGCGCCAGAAGCTCCAGGAGCTCGGATGAGAGGCCCTAATGAACCCAACTTACAGATCGGACCTGGCACCAAGTGATTACCATCTTTTCCTGTCCATGCCGAACGCGCTTAATGGTAAGAAGCTGGCCTCAAGAGAGGCCAGTGAAAATTTGCTCTCCGAGTTTTTTGCCAATAGCGACGCAGCCTTTATCGAGTGGGGTATAATGAAGTTGGCATCTCGAACAAAACAGCGCATAGCTTACTTA